ACACACAGACACACAGACACACACACACAGAGACACACACACACACAGAGACACACACAGACACACACAGACACACACAGACACACACAGGCACACACACACACACACACGGACACACACACACACACGCACACACACAGAGACACACAGAGACACACCGACACACAGACACGCGGACACAGAGACACAGAGACACAGAGGCACAGAGACACACAGACAGAGACAGAGACAGAGACACAGACAGAGACAGAGACACAGACAGAGACAGAGACAGAGACGGAGACGCAGACGGAGACACCCACAGAGACAGACACAGACACAGACACAGACAGAGACACAGACACAGACACAGACACAGACACAGCCACACAGACAGAGACGCACACACACACAAACCGCGAATCTGACGTCTTGAAATCTAAAGATTCTGCTCTCTTGCTGCCTTGTCTTGTCGCCGGTCGTCGTCTCGCGACAGGTCAAGTACTTCAGCATTGGTCTTACAAAGCTGCTTGTGCAAGTTGTGCCTGCATGCAACATGCAGTACGGTCTTGCAGACTTTCGATGTGGAAGTTCCAGGTAGAGCAGATGAGATTTTCGCGGACTAGTGACCAGCACTTGTGTGCTTGACACACATGTCCTAGTTTCACCCATGACAGACCAAACCTCACTGAATGAGTAACTAGCCCATTCAGCATCATTCCCCGATGAGCTGTCGCAGCAGCTTCTATCTGGAAAGCAGTTGCTGTTGGGACTCCGGTCTCACCAGCCGAAGTGAATTCGCCACAACGTGCCAGTAAAACTACAGGGCAGGATGTCTCTGTACGATTACGATTTCTAGCTAAATATTTTCAGGGCGACATAGGGCAACAGCGACAAATCCTAGGTCATGTGTGGACGGGCGGCTTCAACCTCGCGTACCATTTGCAGTACACTAGCCTGCTGTCTGCGGCCTCATGTGAATGCAGTGCTCTCAGCTTATCGCAATCGGACCGCGGGCATGTGGCTCGGCAGAAGGTCAATCAACCTTGGCAACGTTGTAAGATGTCCGGTTCTGGCGCGGCCGGTGCGGCTGGCAACGAAGGAGCAGTCCGGCCCCTGGTTACCGAAGAGTCGCCGAGCCTCCGAGCCTAAGCGATTGTCACTTTCCGGAGTCTGTTGCCTGACCCGTGTGACAGGCTGGTGCAGCTGCAGCTGTAGGCAATGCTGCGCTTACCGGCGCCAGAATGGGTGCATGCCCAAGATATCTGAAGACTTCCAGCCACGGTAGCCGTGAAAAAGATAGCAATAAGCCAATAAGCTCCACTGTGACAGTGGCCGTCGCCGTCGGAGTCTTCCGAGGTGCCGCCGCAGCACAGCGTGGTGTCGTAAGCCTCTCTATATACGTTCAGCACAATCCCGCTGGGGTGAAGGCAGAGGGGGCCGGGCTGTGTTTCGCCACGTGTCGTCGCGCTTGTCTTGTGCCAGAAGTGGAGCTGCTGGGCTTATTGTGCCTTTGGAGGTTTTCTGCTGCTTGGCCGGCCTTGCCCTCTCGGTGATCAGCATCCTAAGCATCGCAGAGACCTCAGCGAAACCTCCCCTCAACAGCGACCTCGGCATTTCTATAAAATCGTAACCGCGTGCAGTGAGAGAGCACGTCGTGGATGCAAAGCCTGTGCATAGTCGGACTGTAGGTGCTTCGGACCATGGCACGCATCGAAACTTTTGTTGCCTTTTCTATGATGCAGGGCCTGATCCTTGAAAGTTCCTTGCTGGAAGTTTCCTAAACGTTTAAGGTGGGAGTTGTGCAGATAAGCAACGAGGCGCCTGCTGCGACTTGCTCCGTGTGACAAACATGCTTTAGATAGTTTCTTGTAACGGCACAAGTCACAGTACATGGAGCAGGAAGACGGTGCATCACATGTGGCTCTCATGTATACTGTATACTCCATCTGGTTACTAATTCCCGATGGTGGATGGAGCAAGTCGAAACATTCGGACGCCAAGCCGACTTACAACTGCTCGTCTTGCATCTGCATTGCTCTCCAGATCTCTCCAGGACCACTGGACAGCAAGGGATGCCGCCTCAGTTTCCCCTGCAGCTAAATCAAGAACTCAAACCGCGCTTCGACAGCTTCAGGACTCCCTGCAGAATGTTTACACATTCTTCTTTGGCCTAGTCATCTGTATCATCGACATGAAGGAGGCATCGTTGGATGGCTCCGCAGCCCTCTCCTTTTTCCTTTTGTTGGCAGGACTGGGCAAACAAAGTCTTTGGATTGCAATCGAAGAGACTTGGATCTCACAGTTTACATATATATATATATATGTATATGCGAGTACTAAAATACAGTATTATACAGTTTAATGCTTACAATCTAAGTATATATATATATATACATATGTGTACGAACTTTGTATACTATTGATATTCTTTCTCATATATATTATCGTATAACATAATGTAATATACTATAATATAATATAATGTGATATATTATAATATGTTATATTACAATATAATATATTATAATATATTATAAGATATTATTATAAGATATTATTATAATATATTATAATGTATTATAATATATTGTAGTATGTTACAGTGTATTTTAATATATTATAATACATTATAGTATATTCTAAGATATTATAATATATTATAACATATTATATTATGTTATAATATATCATAGTAGGTTACAATATATCATGACATGTTACAATATATTATGTTATTTTATAATATACATAGACATATACATACATATATACATATATATATATAGATATGTATGTATGTATATATATACACATATACACATATCATCTATTATATAGTATATATACAGAATATATATATATATATATATCAAAATTGTGCGTACCCCGGGCAGGGGCACTAGACTGCAACCTCCGCTGTTGCTACAGTCCTTCGTTCCTGTGTCCCTGCAGTATATCGCCATGTCACACTCGACAATGGCCCCACAAACAGTTCTGTATACACTGATACACGACGCGTAGGCCAACTCAAAGCTGTATGTGTAACCTGTTTGCACGGTGGGCCCGGATGATGTCTCGTTAGTCTCGTTCATGCTTTTGCGACTGAAGGGATCGTAGCTTTATCTTTATCGGCTTGACGAGTGGAAGGACCCTCGTAGGATCGTCCTCGGCAGCCGGCTCCTCGTCCATTTCTGGCATTCCCTGGCCCTTTGCCAATCCCTGAGCCCCTGCCTTGTCTGGATTTGGATTTCACCTGGCATTGGCCTTCTGTCTTCCTTGGAATTGCCATTGGTTTTTCGGCCTGGCCGGTCTTCGAGGCTCTCAGGTCCTTGACCAAAAAGCTCTGTGCAGGCCAATCCACCTTTTACAGGCTTCTGTGAATGAACTTGGCCTCTCGAGTTCAATCTCTTGAGGACCGGCTCTTTACTTTTGAGGTCTCTGCGCAGAGGCTCACTGCCCAGGTGGAGGGGTTTGATTCATCTGAGTACCAGGTGGTCGAGGACAGCCCACTACGGGGCACCTCTTCGGCAACCTTGAGGTTTAGTGCTCCGAGCTCCAGCTCCAATCCCCCTGCCAGTGCAGTCCCTGGCTCCCTCTCTCCTCGTGCCCGCCAGATCCGTCTTTTCCTGCGCCATGCGAGGGACGGCCAGAAAGAGGCGCCTCAGGGCCAGACCGCCTGGCTGCGTCCCGATATTGGGTGGTCCAACACGCCTACGCGACTTTGAGGGTCGCTTGGTGGCATCTTCAACCGTTTCGGTGACGGCAAGAGCCTCGTGAAGCGGAGATCAGAGGTGGGAGACAGTGTGCATCGGCCTGCCTTTTTGAGGGGACATGATAGCTGTCCTTGCAGGGCGGGGATTCCCTTGCCTGACCATTGGTGAGATGTCGGAAGAGGAAGACAGGCAGCCTCTGTGCCCTCGCGACGTGCTTGCTGTTGATGGAAAAGGTTTGACTTGGAGTGCGCCCTGGCTGTGGTGAAATGTGGAAGCCAGGCCGATGGGACTGAAGTGTCCATCGCAGCGATGGTGGTGAAGGAGCCCGAGGGAAAACTATGCAGATCCATCCCTACGGCCCTACGGTCATCCGATCGCAAAGCCAGTCCACGATGAATCTATATACCCAGTGCCTTGAATCCGGCAGACGACCCAGCCCGTGCTCTTGTGGTTCGCCTCCTTGGTGGGATGATTTGTGCTCGGGGACCCCTCGGCCTTGGAAAGCAGGTTTCGGCCGTGATGCGACAACCCGGATCGAGCAACGGCAACTGCTCGTCCTTGCCCGCAACTGCCACCTTGTCTCGAATCTGCTTCCCAATGCAAAAGGGAGAACCTTCCGACCTTAGGGAGCGCCGGTCCCGGGCCGATGCATTGCATCTCCGCTACGCGTTCAGGTCGAAAGCCGCTTACCCGAGAGGACCTTGCCGCGAGGCTGGGCCACATGCCGGTGCGTTTCTTTAACTTTGAGGCGGCTCTGCCGTGCTTCGGCTCCAAGCTTGCTCCAACGCGCCGCTCGCTTCTCTTACGGCTGGTACCTCACATAGGCGGAAGAGCTTCGGCTTCGAAAACCACTTCGTGGAGCTCCTTTGCCGCCGAGCAGCCTTCTGTGGCTACTGAAGTGTTTACGGCACTCCGCTTGTGAACTTCAGTGCAAGCACGAGGAAAATGTCCGAGTGCTGAAGGGCGGGACCGAATGAGCACAAACATGTCCCATTCATGTTTTTGCGATTGAAAGGATCGTAGCTTGTTAGCCCAGCCCACCCGCCCGTCTAAAGACGGAAGAGCTTTAGCTTCGACAAGGCCACTTCGTGGAGCTCCTTCGCTGCCCAGCAGCCTTTTGTGGCTACTGAAGTGTTTTCGTCGCCTTTACTGGACGGCACTCCGGTTGGAAACTTTAGTGCCTGCGGGAGGAAACTGACGGGCGGGGCCGAATGAGCACAACTTTGAATGAAGATAACAAGGCTGAACACGTGGGCGAGACCAACTCGCTGATCTTTTTCATCGCGTTCTGTTGTTTGTTGACATGACTGTGCATGGCAATTGGACCTGTGGAACACAACACAACATGCGATGCCTGAACCTACCCGGCCTGCCTAAACCACAACGATCGGCCTTTACCTGGATACAGATTGCAGCAGACGTGCATAGAAGTGCATGTGGAGATGCTCACAGATTGACACTTGATCAAAAAGCATCAAGAAGCACTCTAAGAACAGGAACATCTTTCCCCAGGTGCCTGATTCTATCAGGTACGTATACATGGCATACTGGATGAGCATTCGTTGGCCCAAGCCATCCAGTAGCCCTTGGGCTCCTCGCAAATGCAAACGATTGGGATATGAAGACCAGTCGGACTAAGTAAGACGGCATGACTGGTGCAGTGTTTTTCGCATGTACAGCAGAATTACACAAACAGGCCCAAACGGGGCCAGCAAACAAATGAATCATGTAAGTGAGGACATTTTGCGCCGATGTGCACTGGACATGACAACGCAACACTGCTAGGCTCCGTCTGGATCGACTTCGCTGTGAGCTTATGTAGTAACGCCGATGGGACGGGTAGTGAGTGACCCAAAACGGCAGGAATGGTTGTCATTGGCGCGTTTTGAGCATACGTCTGGGCTTTTTGAGTTGCATGAGGGTCGTTGCATCAGATGTGCAAACCTATGCGAATGCGGGACAAGGCCAGCCTGAGGTCACGAGCAGCCAGTAACACACTGCTGCTTCACATGTGCGCACGCAGTCGGCAAAAGAACAGTTACATGACAAGGCCGCAAACATAACATCAGTCCGTGTGCACCTTCTTTCTGAAAGCATCAGTGCCGCAAATACGTGTGCAGATAAGGAAGTGCAGCGAAGGATCACTATACACGCATGCTGACCTGCCACGTCGCCGCATCAGTGCCCACCCGTCCACTGCTCCTTTCGTGGTATGGTTTGGTGTGGGGGTTGTGACGAGGGCCAGGCGAGCGCGATGGATTGCACATAGAATCCCCGCAATTGTTTTACAAGAATGGCGCGTCCTGGGACTCAAATGCCCGCAACTGTTGCCGTTTCCGACGCTTGATACACGTATCCTTGTAAACTCGGATGTCTCCGTCTCAGTGCCAAGGGCTGGTGGTCTAGCGGCGTTTCGATTCTCGTGACTGTCAAAAATTTCCACATGAACATGAACAGAGATTCAAACGAAGAACAATCCAATTCACATCCAGAGGGCGGGAGAGCGAAGCTAGAACCATCGAATGAATGGGAATGAATCCAGAACCACCTGCCCATGGGAGGAAGGGATATCCTCACCTAAGCCATCCCAAGCCCAAGCCCACCCACCCACGCATGGGAACGGGGGCTTGACAACGCTACACCGCACATTGCTTTTGGGACTTTCGACCCGAGTTGGGTTATGTTGTGCTGACGTTTGAAGGTGGTGTTTCGAAGTACTATTATAAGCACTACTTGTTGCGTTGCCGGGGATCGCCTGGAAGAAGTTGATCAGCCAGTGACAGTGAACACAAGCGGAAGAAGAAGAAGAAGAAACGTGCTAAGAACAATAATAGTAAAACCAACAACAATAATAACAGGACGAAGAAAAATAGGAATTATAACAAAAATAATAGTAAGAATAAGGATAAGAAGAAGCAGAATAACAAAACCTGGTAAACAAGAAAGCGGACAATATGTAGGAGGCAATGCTTACGGTTGCTGTTCGAAGCACAAATTGACATGTGCACAGCTTGCTGGTTCCTCCCAGCCAGCCCTTGCGCAAATGTGTGCCATTGTCATCACGGCATCGGCAGGCAGACCTGCTCGGTTGCAACTGTAACCACGTTGCATGTGTGTGTCTTTGTGTGTGTGTGTATGTTATAGAGCATGAGGGAGATAGAGACAGACAGATCGATCAGGTGGGTTTGGTCGGATACACCGAATCCGTCACGCAGCTGAGGATATTTCTGTACTGCCAGTTCCTTGCCAGCCAAACTGGTCGGCAGACAAGTCTTTATTGTAAACGCTTCGCATCGTTTGCCTCGGCCCGGTCGGGCACGGCCGCAAGGCAGAAAAAGTGAGGAGTAGGAAGGACGGACCTGGAGGGGGCGGAGGTGTTGGTAGGGGCGGTCAGTGAGTTCACGGCCAGGGGTCAAGGGTCGCATGGGAGGGATGAAGAAAAGGTGTAACAAGAGTGTTTTTTGGCAACCTCTGACCGCTTCGGTTGGGGCTTGGCAGTCACCACGACTCCGATCATGCTGCAATGGCCAGGTCGAGCTTTGTTTTATTTCTATGTTGGCCGATCTCTTAGACATGCGCCATAGGACACAAGATTGTTTTGTGGTGCAGCAGTTCTCAACAGTCTTGCAGCATGCAGTTCCTTGCCGAGGTTCCATTTCCATATTTCTGCTGCAATCTTGGGGCTTCTGGATGATGGTCTACATAGTTCTAGGAGGCTACCGGCTTGCTGCCAGGTGTTCGTGAATGGCAATTCGTTGCAGTCAATGTCTGCACGATGATTGGTCGTCTGTGCGCAAATTATGTAACCTGCTTCGCTTTGACATCCAAGCAGTTTTTCCGTGATTCAAGTGCGAGACAAGTGAAAGACGCTGGAGCTGGCAGGCGGTCTATGCTTGCTCGGAGCGGTAATGCTCGTCATTCGATGGTGTCCGTGCTGCAAGGACAGACATCTTCCCTGCATGTTGACTGGTCACGCAACAGCCTCTGTGCATGTCGCACTTCCAGGAACAGCCGGCAGCTGCTGCAAGTCCTTCCGGAATTCGCCAAAGCTAAACTGTATGCGGGTTGCGCCGGCGGCCTGTTGTAAATGCTCTGCTTTCGTGCCAACGAGCGCACGGACGCGATGGACGGAATTGTGCGGAGTGGCCAAGGAAGTGAGCCACACAAAACAGAGACTTGTTAAGGCGTAAGCGACGTAAGTGCAGGAGCAGTGTGGGGTTGTCTTGACTGGTGCTACCAGCCAAGCGAAGAAGATTGGTCAGGCACACTGCAGGGCAACAGCCTCCTCCAGTGCCGGAGCATGCGGCTTGTTCTAGCCGCTAGCCTGATCCAGACAAGCTTCGATGCATGCACAGATGCCGAACTAAAAGCACAGTCCTCCCAGAGTATGTTAACATGCGATGTTACGTGCCGGTTTTAGGTCGAGCTTGCTTTTCGATCTACGTCTTGTAGACATGAATGGGTAGATGCCCGTGAGCCTTGCTTACCTTGGCCGGAATGGCACAGGACCGGTAGTCCGTCAGCAGAGACTCGGCCTGAATCCAGAGTGACCGTTCAGGAGCCACAAGAGTACATCCAGCAGAAGGTGAACCCGATTCTTGAGAATTTGGAGCGCTTCTCAAGGGATATTCATTCAGTTTCATTGGAAAGCCGAGCCTAAAGACAAAACGACCAAAGCCCGAAGCAGAGGTCACACAGCTGCTGCTGGAACGGCCCGAGCAGTCCCTTAGCCATCAATTGGCGCTGTTGAGGATCGAGCCTTCTTTGCAGTACTTTGGAGTATCATGCTGGAAGGCTAGCTCCCTTCATGATCAAGTGGCTCTCGCAAAATTCCAAGACGTGCGGTGCCCATGTCGGCTCCCATCAAGTAGCAATTCATTGGCTTTGTTTGGTCTCTGTAGGCCAGCTGCAGCTGCGCTCACGGAGGGTGTCAATGTTTTAAGCTTCTCGTCGGAACTGGTCACAGCTGTGGTAAGTGATGAGCATCAATACAGACCTCCGCAAGCACACCCATTGCATGTGATTTTGGTACAGGCGAGCTGAAGCTGGAGATGGAGAAGTTGCAGGCAACTGCGACCAACATGGCTCCGATCGATCCCTCGATCGAGTTTTGCAAGACCCGGCTTGAAACAAAATTTCGGTTGCCTGTTCCCTGCCGTCCTACAGAATCTGAACCGAAGCTGTCCCGTTCCGCTCTCTAGAAAGAGCGCTGCCAGGAGGAGGTGCGTGAGCTGGAGGCCCAGGCAAGGTCTTAAGGATGGTAGCTTCCGCTGCAGAGCATTGAATACATAAGTCAAAACAGGATCACAAACCGCTTCATACTAGTCTCGACATGTCTCGACCTATGCTATCTGCCATCCCACTTGCCTCGACTAATCAACACACGTCTGCAAGTCTCCGGCAACCAACCTTGCATTATTCGATGCTCCTGCCGTTCTGCAGCTTGCCGGCTGGTCTCGACGAGTGAGAATTGTCAGACTTGCCTCACAACCCCGCGAGTATGGTGGATTGATTGTACCACCACGAGGTGGAACGTGACGGCCTACTTCAAAACGGACGACGCTACCCAGCTAGCCCGCCACACCACGCCCCCACACACTTCACAGTCGGAAAGCAGTTGGTCTCAAAGTGTTACGAGGTCTCGCGGTATGCCGGTTGATGCCGGTTGGATTCAGCCGGTACATTCGCACCACGTAAATAATGCTCCTCTTCGTTGGCCGCGAAGGGTCCCAATGACATGCAATGTGTTTGCAGGTTGCTTTTCTTGTTCGTTCGTGGTGCGCTTCTGTAGACTTGTGCGTCGCGTTCGAACGGAATCATCCAGCTTGAGAACATGTCATATGCGATCAGGACTGAACGATACTGAACACACATGAAGCAAGGCTGCTACGCCACGCTGCTACATGAATTGAATGCCCGCGTCAGGTGTACATGGCGTAACCTGAAGCCTAGCCTTCCAAGTATATCCTACGGTCTTACCAAGAAAACACTTGAATTGAATACTGTACTCTGCCACAGTAGCACATCTGCACAACCTTCCGGGAAACAAAGGGCCTTCGCCAGCAATATGTGTTGCTGGTCTCCATTGCGTACACCGATGTACGCCGCTTCTGAGACGGGCGTGTGCTGTGAAGCGTAACTGTCAGATGAGATCAGATGCGAATCAGCCTGAGCTGAGTGGCAGATGGAAGCGACATCCGACAGGTCGAGGCACAGCGTGGCGACAGGGGCCAGGCAGCGGCTCGCTCAGTGACTAGGCGAGCGCTGGCTAGCCGGGCCATGCTAGGCCCTCTTGCGGCCTTCGGCACCGGCTCCCCAAGCAGGAAGTTGAAGATTCCCTCAACCCGGATAGAGAGCTTTCTCCGTTATCATGGCTCTGTGGCGACGGCTTAAGTTTGACGGGTTACTAGAGTCGATCCTCCCATCTCCGAGTCTCGCGTGAGGTCGATGCCGCCGCCAGCTCTCAGGGCCAAAGCGAAGAAGCGAAGGAGCCGGAGGCGGGAAAGGAGCCGGAGGAGAGAGAGGAAGAGGAGGCGGCAGCAGAGGCGGGGGATCCCCACCCCAAAAAAAAACGGCTTTTGTCCTTCCAAGAGAGAAGTCCGCTGCTGAGGATCCGGAGGCTCCAGAGGCGAAACCGAAGGAGGCCGGGGCCCCTGGCCGGGGCCCTGGAGGATGTTCGGGAGTCGCTTTTTTTGCTTTCGAGGAGGCCCAGGGCCAGGACTGAGTCTGCCGGACTTGAAGTCTCACGTAGTGTAGTGTAGAGTGTCACCACGTGGAGGTGCGACGATGCCAGGGGCGGAACAGAGAATTCACAGGCTAAGACCCATGCGGCATGGCATACCACCACATACCACCATGCCAGTCTGGTATCCGCAGTCTAGTTCAGTGCAAAGTCACTGCTCCGCATCCGATCGTTTGCTTGAGGGTATTGGCGGAAGTCCTGGCAGGAAAACCTTGGTTGTTGCTTGTAACAGAGGCACGACGCATGGCCTGGACAGAGCAACGAAACGAGGTCGTGCACAGCAGCCTCCCAAAGTGCACTCTTGCCTTTTCCCAGCGTCTAGTCTCTGCTTCACGGGCTGGCTGCCGGTCGACATTTTTGCAGCAAGCTGGCGAGCCTGCCAAAGTGCATCACAACTGCAGAAGGTTGAAAGTTGGAAAGCCATGGAGACATTTTCGAGTAAACTGTTGCAAGAATCCTGGGAGTAGCTTTGGAAACTCCAGGAATTTTGGTGAACGTCAGGTCGCTCGTGTGTTTCGGTCTGACACAAACGCACGACCAAGAGAGCTTTTGTCTATGTAAGACAACAAACGAGCTTCCTTCCTCCAAACCTAGCAGTGAGCATCACGATCTCGGCGCCCGTGTCAATCTGATGCTAGCCTCCGAGCTTCCTGACTGTGGTTGGATGGGAGCAGGGGTATTGAGGTGAAAGTGCTTCACTGAAGGCTCAGCAATTCTTGCTGGTAGCGCGGTGTTGACATGTGTTGGCCAGTGAGATGAAGACAGGCAGGTTCTGGCGTTTGTACTTCGGTCAGGCGCACCAAAAAAACACTCCTGGATGCGCAACTGCACACACACACACACAACAACGAGAGGCACAACTAGTGGACTGTTTGCAAGAGGCATCAAGAGTCTCGGCATCCCGTGTGAAGCTGTGCCTACTGCCTCCGAACAGTTTTTGTTCGACACGACGGGGCAACGCTGTGTGTTCTACGTTTCGGCTAATTCAGGGGATTTGGTGGCTGTATGTTGCTGTTTGCACCCGCCGGTTCCAAGGCTCCCTCATGCTTCCGTTGTGGCACGCTGATGCACGCTGTACAAGTATGTTTTCGACAGCGTTGGGGAGAGTAATATGGTGGTCCCGAGGTGCTTTTACGCTGGCATGATGTGCCTGAAAGCCTGCGCCGCTGACAAAACTAAGTCGTGGTTACGCCATCAGTCTGGCTCGAACGTGAGGCATTTGCAGCAAGGTGTCATTCTGTTCGTAGTTCTTCGGTTTGCTTAGAGTAGTTCCTTAGTCATTAGATTAGTTTAACATTTCCCATGAACAGCTGAAATTTTGGCTGCCATGCTCGTCGATATCACGCTCCTAGGCTGAAAGGGAGAGGACACTGTTGGCAAGCCTTGCTGGGCGTGTGGGCCATTCACGGCATTCCTCGTAATCGGTTAGTGATTCTGCTTGCCTGTTCGAGGCAGTCTGTCCGCAGCTCGGGGGTGGGACGGTGATAGGGATTGCTAGTCTGTTGTTGCCGATGCACGATGGACTGCCATTCAGATTGAAAGGGTGCAGTGGTGCTCTCTGTACACGCACAAGGATCTCGAAGGCAACGACATCCCAGCAGAGGCCACGCTCACGTGTCAAGGTCAAGAGCGCAGCGAGAGCAAATGCTCTTTTTCAGGCAGGACCGACTCAGCAAGCCACGGCCAACTTCGGGGCGGAGGCCAGCATAGCCCAGCCCAGCGCAGCAGTGTCAACACATGGCCTCCTCGGCGGCAGGTAGCGCGGCCGAGAGCCGCTTTGCAAGCCCAGGATGCCCCAGATGCTGCCAAAGCATTTCAGGCTCTAAGTCCTTGAATCTTCGAACACTTCATCCGGCGCTTCGTCACTTCCAGGCCTTGTCAACCTCGATGGCCTCCCCCAAGCCGCGGCCCCGAGCAGATCCAAGCAGATGAGCTGTGATCCGTGTGACCTCTCGTTCGCCAGCTGCATGCAAGCCTGAGGTTTAGCTTCGGTTCGCGAGCAAAGGGAAGACAAAGCAGGCCGGCAACCAGCTCACAGCAACAACACTTTGCGGCACTTTGGTGTTGGACCGTTTGAGGCCGAAAGCTCCAGGTCCTGGAAGCTATATGGATCCAAGTGCAGATCTGAATTCCAGGCCTCGAAACCGCATCTCGCCTCCTCGCCTTGAAACCCCCTCAGACCCACCAGGCACAAGAGGCTACCTCGCTTTGGCTTCGGCACGGACACCCGATTGGTCAAGTTGGTGTCGGAAGCCTACACGGCCCGCATCAGGCCCTGAAAACTATGCCCTACTACGCGATCCCGGATTCAGATGAAAGCAGCACTTCGATGATGGCTCAGGAACCGCACGCCGGGTCCCGGCTCCTATTCGCCTGATGCTTATGCTGAAGCCAGATTGAGATTCTTGTCGAGTAGAAGGCCTGCTGGCAATGAGGAGCTGAGATCTTCCGGAAGTGTGACTTGCGCATCCTGTTCCAAGGGTTACAATGGTCCTTGGGAGTGATGCCAACAAAGTCTCGTGCACACCCAGACGAGAGGTTCGGCTCAGAAGCGCGCACACACCGGATCCATGTATCCATCTGCCTGCGGCAGGTGAAGCAGACGAAGCCTCGCCAAAAGGCCCGGAATTTGGGGATCTTCCTGTGTATGAAGCAGAGATCTGCAGTAACTTGTCCTTCTTGCAGGCTGTTGGCATACCAAGGGGTAGAATGGGAAATATTGCTGGATGCATCAGGGGGTGGGATGCAGGGCTTTGCAATGCAAGACTCGCAGAGCCAACAGCCTCTGGAAATGGAGTATCGCCGAATCGCAGCAGAATGTGTGAGAGCATCGTCCATGACAACGCATCAGATAGGACGGATTTCTACATGGGGAGCCGGGCAGGTAGCTCTCACCCGTCAGGCGGGCGCCTCGAAGCGTGCATCATGCGCATGGAAGCACATATGCCGCCCACGTCCGAGCAACCTTTCCGGGGTGTCGTCTAGTCCCATATAAGATAGCACGACGTACTGATCGACTGCAACTGCACATCGTCGCTCTCAAACATGTTGAATGCCTGGAGACTCAGCGTTCGAGTGATCATGGCAAGGATCTTGTGACCAAGTTCTCATTTCCGCCAATTCATTTGAGCTGGTCGTGATGATACCAGTTAGCTGCAACGGAAACATGGCACATGGTTCAAACAGCTGCTAAGAGCAGACGTCAGCGACGTTCAGTCCTCAAGCAGATAGTGGTGCAAGTGGCTGTGGGACTACACGAAGAGCCGCCTTGCAAAAACGCCGAAGACCACAGCACCCCATCCAGAATGTCGTGAAGCGTGTTGATTATGTTTTCTCATGTGTGACAGTGTAAGAAACTCCAAGAGAAGGAGACTATTCGGGAAGTGTAATGAAGGACTCGCAGACAGTGGTTGCAAGCTAGCTTCCGAGTCCTATTGCACTGGTATAGCAAATTTCTGCACAAGTCGAACGTGCTCGCAATGGCCCAGTGTGCTCCTCCTTGCTTACATCATCGTGTCTTTTTTCCGAAAACCATGTAAATGTGGAGGGTGCTAGTGCCATGTTGGTACTCCGCTGCTTTCACTTCGTATTCACAACACGTGATGAAGGGCTACCTGTGTCGGTGAAGTGCGCAGTCTTCTGACTTTTGCCAGCATGCTCCGACCGGCACACCCCGAAACAGCCTCCATGTGTCAAGAGCATCCCGTGCAGGCATGTGTAGGCCGATCCTTATGTCGGCTCGGAAGCTTGTCTTAACTGTCGGTTCAAACAAAGATCCCGTTTTCCTGATAGAGCGTCAGTGTAACATTCTCATTATTCCCAGTACCAGACGAGAGAATGTCTTGGATGATCCCCGTGGCATCTTGCCCAGCAAAGGCACAATATTGTCGAGTACAGCTCCAGTTTCTGGGGTTTTCAGTACCTCTGTGCGGTATTGTGCGGTTCTGGCTCGGTTCGGTCCGACTTCCTGATATCGTCCCGAATCGGCGCATACTGAAGTACCCTCACGACTAAAGAAACACATCGTACTGCAGCAACACAGATTAACGTTTGTGTCTGCTGGCGCACACCGCTACTGGAAAGGACCCTGAAATTCATTTCCATCTTCAAGCTTCTCCTTCGCAGGCACCGGGTCCAGGTGCCTACAACCTGCCAGAATTCAGGACAGCGACTGCTAGCTCGGGTTCCATATACACAAGTCCAGCAGCGCACTTGAGATCTGGAGGAGCGGCGGCCCCAAGGTCAGCATAACGCCGCGGCGGGAATGCAGGGGCCAGGAAGTTGCTGCAGTTTGTGATGCACGTTGTTGCACAGCTGCAGAGATGGCAGGATACCAGTGAGGCTGAGCAGACGCCCGGCCCCGGGGAGCGCCAGTGCCAGCAGTGCGCTTTTCAGCTTGCGACACGACGCTACAGGCAGTTGTGTTCCCCTTTTGCTGTTGCGGATGGTGCCCCTGTCCCTATTGTCCGGTATGGTCCCCGGCCTTTGATGTGGTTCCTTCGCTCTGGTGTGGTTCTCCTCTGTACAAAGCATTTGCTGTCTCATTAAGAGTTGCCAGTGCGGTGTTGCTGCGCATGCCGAAAACTTGCAAGAGTCGCGAGAAACATAGCCTCCGTAAACGACCACGGGTATCGCGCCCCCAGCAGGCTCGATGATGCCTGTGACAGCATCACAGAGCCGTGGCGGCGGGGGGGGGGAGTAATTTCTGTGGGGGAGGGGGTGAGCCGTGCGTGCGTGCATGCGTGCGTGCGTGCGTGCGCGTGTTTGTGTAT